AAAAAAAAAAACTTCAGAGAACAATTCACGATGACTTCGTTGAACATGCATCTCTGCCTGTGCATCTGGACCCCGTGGGCTCAGGTCCCGGACTATTACGGGGGCGCTGAGTGAGCACGGGAAGGACCGGCAGCTCTGTGGGCCCCTCGCTGCAGGTCCCGCTTTGAGCACCAACCCGCGCCCCCCTCCCCACCGCCGCCACCCCACCTGGCTCACGGGAGGGGCGCCTGCTCCTACCTCTCCCGGCATCCTCACTCGCCTTCCAGGACTCGGCCACCGCCCCCGGGAAGACGCACTCACTCTGGAGGTCAGGGGCCCTCCCCGCGGGGGCGCGTCGCCGGGGTGAGGCCGGTCGTCTCCGACGGGCTCGGCGCACCGGCCCCGCACGGCCCGGCCGCGACAGTCGCGAGCGCTCGGCGGGTTTTCTCCTCGGTTCCTCAACCAAAACCCTGGACACAGCTAACGGAGAAACAGCACAGACAGGCTCGGTGGCTGCGGGAGGTCCCACAGCGAGGGAGAAGACTCCGGACCCGGTGACCGGGCCCCTTGGGGCCGCAGCGAGGCGCCGGCGGGCGCGGGTAGTCCCGCGGGCGGCCGCACGGAGGCAGCACTGGCCCGCCCGAGAGCCCCGTCCCGGCGTGCCCCGCGCCTCCGCCAAGGCCTTGGAGGCGGGACTTCCGGTGTGCGGCTCAGTCTAAGCGCTGCTGCTAGAAGCGAGGTTTGCGGAGGCTGGGCGCCAGCTTTGCGATCAGGTGAGGAGCGACGGGGGAGGGCCGGGGGGCGAGGGCCGGGGGGTGGCTGGTGAGGAGCGGCGGGAGGCGGCGGGGTCCGCCGCGGGGCTTATCATCACCGGGGCCCAGCGGGCGCCGTCGGGGTCAGAGCGTGCGGGGCGCCCCGACGCGCGGGGACCCCTGGGCCGGGACCGCGCCGCCGTCCTGGAGGCCTCCTTCCCGCTGCCCGAGGAGGTAGTGGCCCCGCGCCCACCCGGAGCTGCTGTCGGTTCTGCAGACCGGCTGGCTTCAAGCCGATCTGGGTTATAAACACTTTGCATTTCAGCTTTGTGCTGCTGCGCGAGCTGGGGACGCTCTGGTTGGCGGCGGCCCTGTTTGTCGCAGTGGAGGCTCCCGTCGCCTGCAGCGGGGAGAGGGCTTGCACGGGCGGGAGGAGGCTGCTTCTGAGTGGTTTGGGCTCCTGGGTCTGTGCTTCTGTTCCCCTGGCGTTTCCCCTGCCGGCCACTTATTCTCCCACCTTCGACCCCTTTTTAGACTTTCCACATCCTTGTTCCTAAGAAGAGAGGTCCCTGTTTCTTAGCAAGGGTTTGTTCAGTGTCAGACAGCCCTGAAGGCCAGGTGCTGTGCTAGATGCTGGGGCTACAGCAGGCCCAGGGGGCTTCCTCCCAGGGCTTTGAGCCCTGCCACCTGGTCAGCGTGTATTTCAGTGCTCGCTTGCCCTAGGGTCCCTGGGCCTCGTTCTTGTCCTCTAGTGACTTTGCCGCCACGCCCTCCTTTTAACGCACTGGGTGGCCAGCTCACTCATGGCTTCGTGGCAGTTGGACTGTTTTGGTGTCCATCACTCTCCCCCACTGTGCTGGTCGCAGCCTCAGGGCGGCGGACAGGGCAAAAGCGGGAGTTCACGGGGCACAGGTGGGTGTCAGGTCGGTCCCAGGGCTCCCCGGGCCCAGCCTCTCGCCCGGTGCCTGCTTTGGTCAATCCCCTGCAGGGCTGTGCGTCTGAGAGCCGGTGGGATTTCTGCACCCCCTTGGTGTATAACATAGCGTATTTTGCAGGCGGGCAGACGTCATGGATATAGATGCTGAAAGAGTCAGAATATCGCAGGAGATCAGGGAGTTGGAAAGGATTCTGGATCCCGGCTCCTCGAGTATCAACGTGGACATCTCAGAGTCAAGTCTCGACTCGGATTCTGATGCAGGTCAGTGTCTACGCTCCTAGGTCAGAGCGGCTGTGTCTGCCCTCGGGCTCCGGTCGGCCGCAGTGTGCTGTGCTGCTGGACGGTGTGTTACCACCCCTCCCTCGTCAGCCCCTGGCCCCGCTGGCTGTGTGCGAGCACCCTGCCCCGTGGTGCAGCCGGCTGTCCTGGGAAGAGGGGCCGTGTTGCCCTCCTCAGCAGTCGGAAGGTTCCAGGGCTGAGCTCGCCCCCGTGCTTGAACAGTCACCACCGCTGAGACCCCATGGATCTCTTCCCTGGGCTCAGGCAGCTGCCCTCTGTCCGAGGACCCTGCTGCCAGGGCTCTTGTTCTGTCCACTCCGCGTGCTTTCCTGGGCCCTGAGTGTCCCTCCCCGCAGCTCTGGCTGGAGGCCTGCCTGCAGTGGCTGAGCCGTCCAGGGCCCCGGCCTGCTCAGCCCGCTCAGGCCCAGCTGCAGCTCTGAAACCGAGCCTCTCACGGTTCCCAGCTACACCAGGGCCTTCCCTCACTTGGCATCGGGGCCTCTGTGCCTGTCCTGTCCCCTCCTCTGAGTGGCTTCACTTCCCCCAGGGCAGAGCTGTCTCCTGTGAAGCCTGCCCTGGTTGTCCCCGCCGTCGTGGTCCCTGCGCGCCCGGCGGCGCTCCGCGTTGGGCTGGCGTCGTCTCTCTCTGGCTGACCCTGCCCTAGGCCTAGTGCCCGCTTCACACAGTCGATGGGCAGTGCTCGGCCACTGGGCACGGGCGGGGAGGGGCACCCTCCGGACCTCCCCGGCCTCCGCTCCTCTCTTGTCTGCCTGGGAGATGCGCCGCGTGCTGTGCTGGCCGTCGGTCTCCTCGGCGCCTGTGGCGTCCCATCACCAGCCGCCGTCTCCGACGTAGTTAACTGACACGTGTGCTTGCGCTCCTGCAGATTCGCTGCCCGACGAGGACTCGGATGCTGCTGGCCCACTGCCCTTGGTAACTTCTGGCCTGAGGTGACTGTGCCGCTGAGGCAGGCACACCACCCTGCCAGGGGGTCCGGGGAGGGGGGTGTCCTGAACTCGTCTTGGTTTTTCTGCATCTTTAAGGTAACACGTGTTTGTTAGTAAAGAGGAAACACCCCGAAGTATCATCGGAAGTAAGGTTGCCCCTGGATAGACCGCTCTTAACAGCCGGGCGTTCACACCTCTTGCTTCCTCTGAGCTCCTGTCGGCTCCACTGACGTCAGGGGATGTGACCGGACACGCGGGAGGCTGAGCGGGCTGCCTGGGTCCTGCCCCGTGTTCACCTCTCTGCCTCAATTTCCCAGTCTGTGCCATGGGGGCACTCACAGCACCAGTCAGTGCACACGTACCAGGCCTAGAACAGCGCCTGGCAAGTAAAGCACAAAGGTGGTGCCGGTCTTTAACTGTCTTTTGCTTATGTTGTAATTTTAGTTCGGAAAGTTTTTACAGTTGGTTTTTTGTTATTTTCATCAAGTCAATAGAAACAGAATTGCTTCCGTTTTTAGTAGCTGGGTGGTCCTTCTGATGTGGATTTACGGTAGTTCCATGCTTTTGAGACTCGTCGCCTCGAGATAGACATTGGGGCTGGCTCTGTTTTTAGTCTTACAACGCTGCAGCGGCCCCTGTTCCTGCTCACCGCGGCTGCCAGCGAGCCTCTTACAAAGTCCAAGTTTTGCAGAGTTTTTATTGTAGGAAGTGAAAACTGCTTATTTCGTTACACTTCGCCACCTGAAACTTATTCTTAGATAGTACTTTTTTTTTCTTTAATTTTAATTTTTTTAATTTATTTTTGGCTGCGTTGGGTCTTTGTTGCCGTGCACGAGCTTTCTCTAGTTGTGGCGAGCGGGGGCTACTCTTCGTTGCGGTGTGCGGGCTTCTCGTTGCGGTGGCTGCTCTTGTTGCAGAGTACAGGCTCTAGGTGTGTGGGCTTCAGTAGTTGTGGCACACAGGCTCAGTAGTTGTGGCTTGCACGCTCTAGAGCACAGGCTCACTAGTTGTGGCGTACGGGCTTCGTTGCTCTGTGGCATGTGGGATCTTCCCGGACCAGGGATCGAACACTCGTCCCTTGAGTTGGCAGGTTCTTATCCACTGTGCTGCCAGGGAAGCCCAGAAATTACACATAAATTGAACTGTCTTAAAACTAGGAAACGTGTATGTGTGCTGTGTGGTCCTCTGTCAGGGTGGTCTCACACCAGCCCAGCGGCCAGAATGTAGCTCCACTGGGGCCCGGAGGGTGCGGGAGTGTTCCCTTACCTGCAGTTTTCCGCTTGTCGCCAGGAAGGAGAAAGGTGGGGGGAGGCCAGCAATGATGAGGATGACCCCAGGGAGAAGGCACTCCCTGAAGACCCAGAGACCTGCCTGCAGCTGAACATGGTCTACCAGGAGGTCATCCGGGAGAAGCTGGCGGAGGTCAGCCTGCTGCTGGCCCAGAACCGGGAGCAGCAGGTAGGACGGGGTCTGGCCCCAAGAAGCCCTGCAGCCGGGCCTCCCGGGACCAGGGCTCTGGGTCCCCTCCTCTCCAGGGGAGGCACTGCTGCCTGGCCCACAGGTGGCCCCTTGTGTCTGCCACAGGAGGAAGTCATGTGGGAACTGGTGGGGTGCAAGGGCTCCAGGGTGAAGGACAGCAAGACCCTGCCCTCGAGTCTGTATATGGGGCACTTCATGAAGCCCTACTTCAAGGACAAGGTCACCGGAGTGGTGAGTGGTGCAGGCTCTGCCCTCGTCAGGGAGGGTGGGCAGGCTCTGTGGGAAGGGGCTCTCGTCCCCACGGCCTCGGTGGGCGTCGTGACTTCCCCTGGATTCTTTGGGAGAGTGTTCCCCAGCCTCCCTAAATTAAAACTGCCGGGTTCAGGGGTGAAGGTCCAGGTCTCCTCCCCTGGAAGGTGGCAGCTGACCTCGCTGCACAGAGAAGCCCCTGGGGCGTTTCCTGGAGATGTGGCGCGTGGGCAGGAGTGTGGAGTCCTAGCAGCAGAGGTGTCCCCGTGGTTGATGGCAGTCCCGCCCCCCTCCTCAGCACTCGTGGAGTCACTGAGCTCGCCGTGTGCCGCCAGGTGGCGTCCACAGCCGTTCT